ATGTATATTTGTTATTGCCGTTGATATTTAAAAGCACAATGTTAACTTGATGATAAAAGATGTAGTTTATACTCTGTGCAAGAAAGCCTTATAAAAAAAATGTAATCAGTAACTCCTAAAATCTCAAAAACTTCTGTTCAATAAGGACTAGAAGAAGTTTTGAATTTAGTTCAACAATGGAATTTCCTATATTTGTGGTTTTGTTTCTAATGCAAATAAATTCTTATATTATTCTAAGGAAGAAACAGCGTAAAAGTATGTGGAAACAAGATTGTTTAGAATCAATAATATGCTATTAATAACATGTAAAATTCTAATTTCATGCTAAAATTAGATATAGAATATTGAGCAACTATAGAATTTATTAGTATAGCTGTAAGAATACAGCATCCATGAAACCAGAACATACTACAGGACAATATCTAACATTTTAAATAGCATGCATGGTATTTGAGAAGTGCTGTATTAAATGTTTGGCTAATTATTGACAAAAACATAACCATAAGAAGCTATTTGATCTACATACTAATTTTTTGGGGTGGAAAAAAAAATTAGGAGTCTTTGAAACTGAAACAACAGTAATCTTTAGCTTGGAATAAAATCTACTTGAGCTTGAAAAGCTTTAAGAGCTTTTCAAGTTTTCCCAAGTTAGATGAGGATACTGGGAAAGACATAGGTAATAAGCAGTAACAGTAACCATGCAAGCATCGACACCATCCCTCTGCTGCTGTTACTTGGCTTTTGAATTATTATTCTGTGAGCATGGAAGAAATATCAGCGCTTTATGAAACAGTTTGCAGTATTTTGACCAGCAGAAAAACAAGACACTCCTCCTACCCCCATTTTCTTCCTACGCCATTGCAAAGACATTCTTCAAAAATGCTTTTCTATATCAGGAATACTTCTGCACACATAAAGAAGTAAGAGTCAGCAAAATCTTGACAATCAACTAAAAGGAATGAAGTCAGAAGAATTTATTGTGTGCAAGTTGCTTGAAAATACACTTGAAGAAAATGCTGGAAATACAGTTCCTATTGTACCAAAAGATCAGATTTAAATAAGTAGATTTTGAAATCCAGTGTGAGAGGAGAAGACTGAGTTATTATTCTAATAGATATTTTATGATTAGTCACCAAAACATATAATCTTTTTAATCAACTCAATTGGAAGAGGTAAAGAGCAGGAACTGGAAGCATTATTAAAAAATCTCCAAGTGTTATCAGTGCCTCAGAAACAGGCTTAAGAAAAGGCAAGATCCATCTACCAACACACAAAGGCTTTTATTTTTTAATGTATAAAACTTCTTAACACTGCTCTAATCAAAATTCTACTCAGGTAGAATAATAAAATCCTACCAAATACTAACCTGAAATACTACCTCTCTAGCGAGGACACAAAATATGTATCTTGATTCACCACATAAGAATATAAATATATATTAAAAATATTCTTGTGAATACATTTGTTGTTTACTGCAGCATATACTCCTAAATAGCCAATAAATTCTTAGCACTGAGAGGATTTTTTCGTTTTATTTTTGAACAGCCCAAGCAGAAGGTTTTGATCAAAGCCAGTCCCACATTTTGGAAAGAATGCTTATATATTCTTTCTCAAACCTTTCAGCCTCATCTTCCTTCTCCCTCACCCTCCTCTTTACCTGCAGCCTAAGAATCTTTCAAGGGCTACACCACCTTCCACTATATTATTTAGTACAAAAACCTTCAGAAATAAATCAAAACCACTTGCCAAAACAGTATGCCTAGAAATTCAAGATGCATGAGGAATAGCAGAATGTCAGCCATTCCAGACAGATCAGTTAATAGAGCTAGATGTCAAAAGACTAATATCACAGGCATCTAAAAAAAAGTTTAGACAAGTTGTACGGTAGCTTTGCTTTAATGCGAGAATATAAATAATCAGAAAATTGTTTTAGTCTGTAGAGTGTCCGAAAGGTGACTTGTACATAAACCCACACACTCAAGGACAAACCCAAACCATGCTCCATCATATCACATGTTAATATAAATTACTCTAAAGACTGCCTGGTTCTGGTCATTTCACTGACCTTAGTAAGAATTGTAACACCAATTCAGTGACACCACTGACACTTTTAAATAGGGATTTTTTTAATGTCACTTACTTGAATTTACTCCATGTACCTGAAAGATAGTTAGATGACTATCTCTAGAATGAGATATACTTTCATATTAAACTCGAGAGGTATTATAATTAATGATGAACAACAGAAACTGAATCTTTCATGATATAGACACACAGAAAGCATCATCATGCCGTCGAAAGTATCACTGTGTTACTAAATGTTTTATACACAAGGGTCAGTTGGACCTTAGGGGGTTGTAGGTTCTGCCTGCCAGGGATCCTACTTATTGTGGGAGGATGGGAGGGAAAAAGAAAAGAAGCATAAAAGAATTAGGTAGTACCATGGCCCTGTTATCTACAAGTAGTGCTGGCATTGCAGCACTATCTGCACACAATTCCAGTATTCCAGTAGAGTTTGGTACTACATAGGATGAAGGAAAACACGCAGCAATAGAAACTACTGTGGCAGTGATATATTTTCCACCGAGAAAACATTATATGACAATGGTACTTACCATATTTGTATGGCGCATAAAGAGAGATAGATGAAAGGGTTATCTATAATCATCATCATAACTAACGCAGAGGAAAAAATGGTGATTATGCAGATGAAAACTGCCCTTATGCACAGGAATTTATAAACACCTCAGAGCTCTGTAAATTTGCTGCAGTACAGTGTTCACACAGGAGTCATTAATTAATCCAAGTTAAAACCAAAATTTATAGTAGGTTTAGTATTTTAACAGGATTACTTCTTATAACTGATTGCAGGATTACACTTTGCCATATGTTACACGAAGCTCCCAATGTGATTTAACATTTTTGCTGTTCAGCCAATGACATAATCTTTGAAGAATCTGTGATGTTGTAACGTTCTCCTAAAGGAGAGATGGTTGGATGGTCACTGAAGAAACAGCAATGTCAGTTGAAATGTTGCTACTCCCAAGTTTTTGACCCTGCTTCTCTGCAGAAGGTTAATACTTGTCCAGTAAAGTCAGAAAAATAGATCATGTGGGCACTTCTCATTTGCTTTAGTGCAAAGGGAGCTGGATAATGTAACCCAATATAGAAACCTGTTTAAGCTAAATGTTTCTGTACTTGAGCAGAAAGGGACAACTCAAAGGACCCCTTTTCCACCAGTATCTGTTCTAGTCTGATAGCCTCCAACGATGGGAGGTGACGTCTACCAGAGATCTAATGACACAGCTGGAAGATGGTAACACCTTCAGTGAGTGCAGCCGTTTTGCAGAGACCTTCTCACCATGCTTTCTCTGTTCTGTGTCCCATGGATGAATGTTATTAAGTGTTGTTCTAAAATCAAATGGAAGGAGCTGCTAGAGGACACTGCAACAGACTTTGCGATATCAGCTCTATTCCAGTCAAGAACATAATCTTGGAATCCTCTGTGCCAAATTAGGATGTTTTCTCATAGGGTCTCACACATGTAGGCACTATTTTTGTGATGTGTGATCCCCACAGCAGTTAGAAGCAAGGCCAAAAAAGATTTTGCTATTTTAGGTTATCATAAAGAAAAAAAACAACATTAAAGATTCTAGCAATTTTCCCTTAATAAAAAAGGTATTTGCATTAAATATACAAAATTAGACACTTTGAGTGATATAATTTCCCTTGTTCTGCCTCCATTAACAATCAGCAAAATTAGGGAGTACTGGTTCCAGCTGTAAATAACTTCTTTGTTGCAGACATCTTTGCCAGTGGGCAGGTTAGGATACAAATGCTCCTTGCAAGATAGAGGACTAGGGTCATGGTGTCGCCATCACCTACCACTTATATCATCACAGGGGGTTCAGGCCATGCTACAGCCCAGAAAATAGCCATTGGAGATCATTATCTCTTAGGCACTTAGGAGATAATTCTGCAGCTTGATTAAAATTCAAACCTGGATTTTTAAAATAGTTAATCGTCCAGATTAATTTACTATTAAATAGTAAACCCTATGATGTCTGTTGTTTAAATTTTTACCTATTAATAAAATGGAATACAACCAACACTACGCTCCTACACCATTTATTTTGATACTATTCTTTTTCAGTTTTTTATAGACTGAATCTTTTCACAGACAATGCATTGTCCTATTGCAGGAACACAGGGGAGCTAGAAGCCTGGGAGACAGGGGTCAAGGATACCAACAGCAGAGTGGGAACACTATCAAAATTGAAGAAAAACACATCAGCTGAATGCTTCTGCTTAGACAATCTGCAGTTAAATAGCTGGCACTGTTGAAATTAAAATGGACTTATTTTAAGTTTTAAGCACAATGTGTTGCCATAAGTGGTTGACTTTGTATCTCTCAGTTTCATCAAAACTCTGCACTCAAGTAGATCAAGATTTGAAGACTTTTCAAGCATTAAAGCAGGAAACTTATTATAAATAGAAAAAATTGATTGGATTATGTGCTACAATTTTACTGCAAATGGTGGCAAGGAACTGTGGAATTTTATAAAGTCTTCAGTACCAATAAATAAATAAAGAAATATACACGTGCAAAGCCTGAACGCACATTCTAAAAATATCTTACTCCTTTTCAGACTTGGTAAGTAGAGACAATGAGAGTTTAAAAGGTTAGTACTACTAGCCGTCACAATAACTACATAAGCTGCTATGAACAACTGCTTTTCCAGAACAAAGCACCTGATCCACAGGGGTGGGGAGTCAGAGTTTGGTGAGGTTCAGCAGACCGCATCCCTAAGGCAGCGCAGAGCTCAGGAGCAGGCTTGTTAGTAACAACACTAACACACAGGGGTTGTTCTAATTCTAAACAGTCAGATGAAGACAGCAGTTCAGGGCAATGACTAAGACAAGGATCATGCTAAACTTAATTGCTTTCACACCTGGTGAGAAATTCAGGAATACCTAACAAAATATTCATCGCCACCCACCTTCTGTGGTGACTGGGAGAGAAATTTCCATGCAGGCCGCAGACTGCGCTTTCCTGAAGGGGGGCCTCCCAGGCCCTCGACGGTTTGCTTTTGAGACATCTGCGCTGGAAAGTCGTTTTCCTGACCCGCAGCTCTGGGATGTTGGACTCGTACAGTGGCCGTTCACGTGATCTGGAAAGTGAACGCAAAAAGCCCTCAGTAAAGTGCCAGCTCCCAAAATTCAGGATGGAGGAGAGACGTACGTTCTGATACTTAAGAATGGGTTAAATCAAACCTTGTGAGGATAACTACTTATTTATCAACCCAGCATGTATATGTAAGAATAACTCACCATATCTTTAAGGTATACTTTGAAAAAAACCCAAGGGACATAGAACTGGTACACGTTCTTACAGCTGCAGATCCCACAGCATTCTGTTGACCTCTGTGAACAGGCAATTTATCAAGATACTGCTGCTAACAATGTCATCCCTGATGTTGTGTCTCCTAACAGATACCAAATATATTTGAAAACTATCTTTCCTTTTTGCTCTCATAAAGAACTGCAAGTGTAATTTACTACAGGGGAGAATTTAGAGCTAGACATCTTCCCTACCTGACTTGAAGCTTCATGAAACAGGCATCTAACTGCCACTATTTGGGATAATTATAAAACTAGCCGTAATACCGCTAGGTATTTTATTCTCTATATACCACAAATAGATTTATTTTACTGCTAAGGAAACTGCCTGCTGAACAATTGATTTGTCTGCTACAGATCTAAAGATACGAGGCTATGTCCTTGAACCCCTGCTGGAGGCCGTGGTCCATCAGCACAGCACATGCTGCGGTCTGATGGGGTGAGAAACAAAACATGTCTGCTTTAAACTCTGCCTACATTCATCAGTTCTTCGTTACTGGCAACAGGTCTTTAAACCACAACGATCCACTGATCAAGCCTTTGGTTAGAGTTCAGGGTGGGTTGGACTTGACTAGAAGACATTCAAGCGAAGAACTACTGAACACAATTTCCCCCTCAACTTATGAAAGGATAAACACCTAGGTATAATTGAATTATTTGTAGTCAGCAGGTAATTCATACTTATGAATTTAAGTAAACAGTAGGTAATAAGTGTAACAAAAATTCAGACTTATGCAAGCACACTGAATACTTCTATTCAAAACTATGGAAGCTCAATACCATAGGACACAATACCAAGGACAAGCTTGGAATTTCTCCCTTCATTTTAACTGTCAGGTTATTTGTATCTGAGAATCAGATTAGTTGTTAAGATTCTGTATATAAGTATCATATTTGGTTAACTGTCTTTGATTTCTATTGTATCCAAGGAAAAGGTGTTAACATACCATGATAAATTTATTTCTTGGTTACCATGCCATGATAGCTACATTTTACATAATGAAAAGCTATTTCTATATTCAGATAATAAACCAGATTCTATACTGAATAGAGCATATAGTGTGCTATTATATGTAGTCTTCCAATATGTAACTCATGTCCTTTCCATGTGAAAGCAGTTCAGTCCTAATGAACAAAATTGGAAAGAACTGTTTAGAATTATAGTTTAGAAAGCAATTTAGTATCTGTACTGCATAACAAGACAGCTCTGTAGGAGACACAACTTTCATGACTCTTATCATATTCTTAATACATGGCTATTAACCGAGCTAACAGCAGATATAAAACTGATATGGATGATTCATTCAACTTATAGTTAGGGAATTTTCCAAAATATGCTGGAACTATTGATATATTTCAGCAGAAAGTCCTTTGAGATTGGGGGCTTTGTTCAAGGGCACAGGCTGACTGCTCAACCTCAGCACCAGACACATCCTCATCCAGCTGCTTCCTTTCTTCAAAATTCAGTTTGTGTGAAGGAGTTTCAGCGTGATATCTAATTATCTCCAGGGGGATCCTACGAAGTGGTGAGGAACATAACAGAGTGAAAAAGAATCATGTTCTATAGAAACACCAACAACATTTGTGAGTCGCTTTCCCTGAGCATCGTACAGAACGGGCACAATTCATCTAACCCCCCATTCACGTTTAAGAAAAACGCTGCTATGTTTCTTTTAGTATGCTTGCTTGTCTCAGTCACCTACAATGACCCAAATTAAACACAAACCATGAGTAGGATCAGGCACCTAAATCCCTTTAGTTGTTTCGACAACGCCTTTCCAAATAAGCAAGGCCAATTCCCGCAGAGAAAAAAAATCAGGCCTCATCCTAGAAGGTGCAGGGATATCCCTTCAAGTACTGAAGTTGGTGAAATGTTAGTGAGTCCTAAGACAATGACCAGAAGAGGGATTTTAGGGATCAGCTACACACTTTTCTGTATTTTAACACTGTTCTTTTCTTCTGATTAGATACGGTTATTTTTTAAACGTATACAACAAGGAGCAATGCCGCCCTTCAAACTTTAGTAAAAACAGAAAGACACCGTATAAAGATTGATATAATTATGGAAAGTTTGACTGCAACGTTTTTGCTGAGAAGCTGATAGGAAACAAGCAGATAAAGACCACCCAAATTACGAGGAAATTCTATGTGTGTATTTTAAAAATTAATTTCTCACAGTTTTTATGGTATAAGCTCAGTGATACAAGACGTTTCTAAAGAATGTTTAAGTGCTGTTTTAGAAAGGCCTGAAAATAAATGAAGTGTGCAAAAAAATGGTAAGAAAAAACAATACTAGCACAGTGCACTTTCTAAGGGAGACTGAGAATGCTATCACCCTTTGTCAAAATGACTGCAGTGATTTATAGCCCTCTGAGACCCGAGTCACCCGATCCTCCTCTGCCATGACAGATGTCTTCCAATCACCCCAAAGAACAGACAGAGGAGACTTGTAAAAACCTGGGTTTTTTTCGAGCTTTGTTTGATTTGTCAGGAAGAGCGTTTTATCTTTCTTTCTTGCTGGCTTACTGCTTTTGTCATGTGGTCACTGGGGCTATTCTCATACCAGAAATATTAATTAACACTGAGCACCAGTTGATACCAGAGACATTAACACTGGTACTTAAGAAGCAGTGCATGGATTGCTCTGTGCTGTTGACACAATAGTGCAACAGCTCCTAATTCTCTCTTCTGGGCAAGGCAGAAAATAGTTGCCTGGGGAGAAAGCACTCCACAAAAAACCCTTCTCTTTTCTACCCCTTTTCACCACATTTGCCATCGCCTCCTATCCCTTCCCATGGGTGCTGCTGCCCATGAGGCCAAGGGAATAAGCATTATACTTTCTAGTGCTCCTTGATTCCAGCAGCATGTACCAGAGTTACTAATGCACCACATTTGGGCACCCTGGCTCAGCCAAGCTTATCTTTGAAGCAGTCCCCAGAATGCTTAACAGCCATCCTACTCTGCCAGGGCAGCAGCCTTTTCTCCTGTTTGTGGATAGTGAACTAAACAGCCAGGGCTCGGTTTGTAGCTACTCTGTTCATTAATTTAAAAACATAAGGCTCATGCAAGCCATTGGAAGTAATCATAGCAGATTACCCCATGCTACAATACATTAGTCCATTTTATACTGATTTAACTCCACTGATTTAATAAAGCAGACAGTAACAAATTACATCCAAGATCTATTAAAATATATAGACGAGAAGTTCATGACAAAATTCTCTGATGTTCTCCACACGCTGCTCCTACAGTGCAGGTCCTAGTTGTTTGCCTTCACCTGGGCTCATGGTGTTACCCACATGAATTAAAAAGGCTTTAGCTATCCCTGCTACCAAACAGTAGCACCGTTCAGTGCAGCGTGCATGCCAAAAACTGCATATAAAACAAAACAGAACTGTCCTGGATGGAAGGCCAGTGTGTCACAAAAAATACCAGGGAGACGATGAGACTAAGAACTGAAGAAGTAATATTAGTTACTGTGAACTTGATCAAACTACTGAGAGATGCCTTCTGAGAGATGCAACGTGCAACATGACAGCAGCAAGCCTGCTGGAGAGCCTCAAATTTAATCTAATTTTTTTGAGGAGTATTACACAGACAGGAAGTGTATTATATATACACATGCTGATTTTAATTAACACACAGTAACATGTACAGATTACACAATCTGTCTTGTCATATAATTGTTTTAAACTACTTGGTGACCTCTGCAAAAAGCAAAAGGAACCAGTGATTTACCAGTGAAAAGCTGAACCCTTGTGAAAACCAAATGTATTAAAAATGTTGGTAAGAACAGAGAAATGTGCATTTGCAGTTGCTGCCTAGAAAGTTGTGCTACACTAGACATAACAAATAATAATAATAAAAAAAAAAATCAACCTTTTTTTTCCAGTTCTAACAAAGGGATAAATTCACACAGAAGAAACTAGCTGAAAACCAGTTCTTACTAACGATCTGAGAGAGGTTGAGAACAAAAGAATTTAAATACGACTGATTAGAAGGATTATAATATCATCCTAAATTGTAAGGAAGTAATCAATAAAAGAGCAGGCAAGAGGACCAGAAAGAGATGCTTTAATACGGAGCAGAAAGAACCTGAAAAACGAGTCCCAGAGAATCCCTTGAACAAATGTTGAGGAATACAATCTCTGCTGTTAAAGGGAGGAAAAGTCCATCTGTTTCCACTGGGGGATTTTTGTGTTTTATCAATAAATTAGATTTGGGGTAATGATTATGGGTGTGACTAACCTTTTTTTTTTTTTTTCAATTATACTTGAAGGAAAAACCCTTACAAAGCCAGGATCACAATTTTCTCTTGGTACAGTTCTGTCAACCAGGCAAGAGAGGAGGTGTGAGCCCCAGCAGAAGAGGTTAGAATAGATGTACTGCCAGCAAAATTGTATATTTACCATCATGTCTTCATCAGTTTGAAGAAGAAGGATGAATTGCCCTATTGACATACTGCTAGTACATTGAGGTCCACACTAAGAATATAATGTGCTGTCATTTTAACATACTGCCTGTGCAATATAATGGTATTCTTATTATGGTGGTGAACTCCTATCATGTGCTTGATCCTAGATATTGTCAATTTTTTGAAAGCGGGGTGAACAGATTTATTTTTCAGAGAAATAAAATACTGTGAAGTGGTTGAAAATGTTAAGCATGTTATCACTGACAGAGCCCCTTTTAAAACTAGTATTTTTGCCTGCAGTTATGAACGATGAAACCAAAACGCAAAATAAACACTATGCAAATGAAGAACAGTAAG